ATTAAGCTCATAACTTCTAGATCCAAAGTCCTTTGTTCGTTTGCTCACTCGTGTAACACCGTAAATTTTCAAGCCAAATTTTTTTGTAAAAATAAACACAGTAAAATCATTTTACATTTTCTCAAAACCACAAATATCTAAAATGTCATCAAAATCCACAAAGTAAAAATCACTATCCCAGAATCCTCGATATGGTCTCAACCAAGTGTGTACAATCATGTCGGTGCCTTCCTGTGATCTTGAGAGGTACCTGAAACACATAACACATAACACATAACACGGTAATGAAGAATCTTAGTGAGTTCCCCAAAATACCAAACATATCTCGCTAGCCTCTTATAGCTATACTTAATAAGACCTTTCGGTCAATGTGTCTCAGTGGGACCCTCCAGTCCTACAACTCGGGTGGGCCCTCTGACCCTAACTCAGTAGGCTCAGAATAACACAACACAAAATACAACACATAATACAAATATGACAATACACAATATAAGCACGTAAGACTCTCTGGTCGCACACAATTACCATTCTAGGTAAAGTATAGTGAAAAGACTCACCTCGTAAGAAATCGGATAACCTCGAACTCAAATCACCGGTCTAGCCTCCGCCTAACACATACAATAATTATCCCCAATTAACAAAGGCTCTCAAAGAAGCTAGAATAAACCTTCTACAAACTCACAAAAGGGTAAAAGACCATTTTACCCCTCCATGGCCTAAATAGTCCAAAATTTGACCAAACCCTAAAAGTCATCCAACAGTCAACAACAGCTAGTACGTTGCGCGTACAAGATCTCTACGTTGGGTATACTCTGATGACATGCATGCATCCGGGATTCTCAACACTATGCTGCGTGTACTGCGATTACACTCAGCGTATGCTCCAATTTTTCTCTTCCTACTCGTTTGGTTGTAATAAGTTAAGACTTTAGCTCATATCACAGATGTGGACTCCCTAAAGGCTCTTACTCCAGAAAGACTTTAAGCCTTTGCATAGCTGGCAAAGTCACAAACACCCAAAACTCTCATTCTCTTATCTCAAAATTCTCATATCTCATGCATGGGTTGATTCAAACGTCCAAGTAAGACACTCAAAGGAGTTGATCATAGTCTTTGGAGGTCAAAATCTCATAAAGCCTCCAACTTTGAGACCCAAACCCTAAAATGATCTAACACGATGCACAAATTAAGATAGTGAGAAATCTTTGAGCTTTATACCTCTAAATAAAGCTCCTAACACAGATATGCTCAGATCCACTGCCTGGACCCCCCCTTCCTTCTTCTTCAAAGCTCCTTCTTCACTCCAAGAACTCACAAGATCACTTAAATTCTCCCAAATGGACATACAAACTCAATGAATAAGAATTAGGGTTTGAGAGGGTTGTTTTTCTGAGGATGATGTCCATGAATGAGGTTATAACATCCTTTATATAGGGACACACCCCAAATTAGGGATTTCACCTTCATGGGCACCTCTTTGTTCCTCAACACCTTCAACTTTCGGTCTAAAATCGCTATCAGCCTCTCAATGTAATTCAGGCTCACATCTACCTGAATGTCCCCTAAGGGAACCACCACCATCTCATCGGCTACATACTTCCTCAACTAGGACACATGAAAGGTGTTATGAATCTGGCTCAACTCTATAGGTAGGTCCAACCGGTATGCTACCTTACCCACCCTGGCGGTCACTTGGAAAGGACCCATGTATTGGGCCCCCAGCGTTCCCCATTTTCTGAATAGGATAACCCATTTCCATAGGGATACCTTTAGGAGGACAAAATCTCCCACCTGAAACTCTAGCTCGGATCCTTGTTTGTCTACATAACTCTTTTGGCGAATCTGGTCCATTAGTAAACTCTGTATGACCTGTTGAATCTGCTCAGTCATCTTGAGCGCTATCTCAGTGCCACCCGTCACTCTCTACCCTACCTCTCCCCAACAAATGAGAATAGGACACCACCTCCCATATAGAAGCTCAAAGGGAGGCAACCTAATACTCGAATGATGGCTGTTGTTGTAAGAAAACTCAGCCAAGGGAAAATAAGTGTCCTAACTTCCTCCAAAGTCCATAACACATGCACACAACATGTCCCCAAGCATTTGAATTGTCCGCTTGCTCTGCGCGTTCGTCTACGGGTGGTATGCAGTATTAAAATGCAGACATGTAGCCAATTCTTCAAGAAATTTCTTCAAAAACTTGGAAGTAAAACACACATCTCGATCTGACACTATCGAGGTCGAAACTCCATGCCATCTTACCACCTATCATATAGATATCGGCCAGTTTCTCTGTAGAAGAGCTCTCACTGATGGCAAGAAAGTGAGCACTCTTCGTCAACCGGTCTACAATCACCCATATCACATCAACCCCGCGTGCGGTCCTCGGTAGCTTGGTGATAAAATCCATCGAAATATGCTCCCACTTCCATTGGGGAATCTCTAGATTTTGTAATGGACCATGTGGACGTTGGTGCTCCGCCTTAACCCGAAGACAGGTCAAGCAACTCTCAACTACTCGTATTGCAACCTTCTTCATATAGGGCCACCAATAATCTCTCTTCAGGTCCAAATACATCTTAGTGGCCCCTGGATGGATCGAGAATCTCAATCTATTCACCTCCTCCATCAGTATACGCCGAGCTCCACCCATATAGGGCACCTAAATCCTCCCTCAGAATGTCATAATCCCACGAATAGTATTTAAGTCTGGAGTCATCACTTTCATCCACATACATGCACCTCCTCCTCTTGTGGTTCTCTGGTCTCACAGCCTCCACCTGGGCCTCTCGAATAGTATTTAAGTATGGAGTCATCACTGTCATACTCATACACACGTCTCAGATCAAAGCACTCACTGCTCTACGGATCAGGGCATCGGCTACCACATTAGCCATGCTCGGATGATATCATGTGCCCCCTCTGCATCAACACCCTACCCATCCCTGATATGGATGCATCACAGTAAACTACAAATTCCTCCACCCCCTTGGGAAGGGCTAGCACTGGGATTTCACACAATCTTTGGCGAAGAGTCTCAAATGAGGCCTATTGCTCAGGCCCCCAACCTGGTGAGAGGGGTGGCAGTCTTGGAGAAATCTTTGATAAATCTCCGATTGTAGTCAGCCAAACCCACAAAACTCCTGATCTCGGTGGGGATCTCGGCACCTCCCATCTCATCACTACCTTAATCTTGGTCGGGGTGACAAATATCCCATTCTGTTTAACAAGGTGTCCTAGGAATTGGACCTCTCGTACTAGAAATCACACTTGGAAAATTTGGCATAAAGCCTCTCCGCCCTTAATACCCAAAAATCTCTCTAAGATGCTCCTCGTCATGCTCTCTGGATCTGAATACACCAAAATATCATCGATGAACACGATCACCGATCGATCCAACATAGGCCTGCACACCCGGTTCATGAGATCTATGAACACTACCGGTACGTGGGTAAGCCAGAAAGGCATCACCACAAACTCATAGTGCCCATAACGGGTCCTAAAGGTCGTCTTCTGGATATCCTGCTTCATAATTTCATCTGATGATATCCAGACCTCAAATCAATCTTGGAAAACCAAGACGCCCCTTGCAATTGATCGAATAGATCGTCGATCCTCGAAATTGGACAACGGTTCTTGACCGTCAGCTTGTCCAACTCCCGGTAATCAATGCACATCCGGTATGAACCATCTTTTTTCTTGAAAAAAAGGATCGACACTCCCTAAGGTGAGCTACTCAGTCTGATAAAACCATTCCCCAACAGCTCCAAGAGCTGTGAGGATAACTCCTACATCTCTAATGGTGCAAGGCGATAAGTTGCCTTAGCAATAGGCACCGCTCCCACAATCAAATCGATCTGAAACTCGACCTACCTCTCGGGAGGCACACCCGATAACTCCTCGGGAAAAAACATCCAGAAACTCACACACTATCAGAACCTCAGCGATAGAACTCGGCCTCTACAAAAACCCGCATATCCGTCACATACGCCAAAAAGCCTATACAACCCTACTGTAAACTCTGTCTTGCCCTGGCAGCAAAACAAAAAGCTGATCCAGGTCTGGTACCCTCGTCATACACCATAAGCACTCCCCCACTAAGGTCACGTATAGTCACCATCTGATGCTCATAGTCGATCAGAGCTCCAAATCAACTCAACCAGTCCATTCCTACTATGACAGATACCTCACCCATCACGATCGATACTAGTTCTATCGAAAACTCAACTCCAAAGATCTCTTGTACGCATCCTTGGATCACATCAGTAGAAAAAACCACATGCTCGTTGGCTATAGAAACCCTCAAAGGTCGATTCAACGCTTCACGTTGAATACTGATGTGACGACTAAAAGGTAAAGATACAAAGGATCAACACGCACCTGAGTCAAATAACACCAAAGCAGATACAAAACTCACAAGAAAAATACCTAAACACAGCATAATATAATCACAACATATCTCAAAAGAATATAAATATGGAATACGTACCGGCCATGACATCAGGTGCTGCGCGGACCTCTATCACTATCAGTTGAAAGGCTCTTCCCCGAGCCCTCGGTGTCTCGACCTTTGCTAGGGGTAAGCAAACCCGAACCAAGAAAACGAGAAACCAACAAAAACCGACGAAACTGAAACCGAATCAAAACCGACAGTGTGGGTTTTAAATTTGTAAAAACCGACTTTCCGGGTTCGGTTTCGGTTTTGCCCCTAGAAACCGGCCCAACAACTCGAGAAACCAACCCCTCTTTAAAACCGAGAAACCGACCCAGCAAACCCGCAAACCCGATGCTTTTTACTGATTATTTTATGTTTATATATATATATATATATATATATATATATATATATATTAAAAAATAAAAATAAATAAAAGAAGCCTAGGTCATTGACTCCCGTTTTTGTTTTGCCCTACTTGCCCTCGGTACTCAGTCTCACACTCACAGTCTCGCATTCGGAATTCCCCATCGGCGCATCCACATCCCACTGAACTGATCAACTGATGATGAGTAGACGATTGAAGAGTGAATCCAAGGACCTCCGTCCTCCGGCGCTTAGTCGCTCGCACACATCCGAGGCTCTGATGGAACCCCAAACTTCCGGTGCCACCAATCCGAGGTTCGTTCCTCTGATTTTTTTTTTTCTGATTTCCCTTGTTGTGCTTATGTTCTGAAATTTGAATGTTATGTTCATGTAGAATCACTAGAATGTAATGATGTGAGATGATGAATTAATATATAGGCCATTTTTTCAATGATTAGAATAAATATGTAGGACATTTTTTCTGATTTCTGTTCTTTTTTGTGGATTTGGCAATTTGTCATTGAAGAATTATGGCGATTTGGCAATGTGTCTATGATTTCATGACTTCGTTTTTTTTCTGATTTCGTTTTTTTTTTTTTTTTTTTCTGATTTAGGTTCGTGACTTCGTTCCAAGTATTTAAGACATCTGGAAATCTTGCTGAAATCTTATTACTCTTAGTATCTTATTATGTTTACTAGCTATCAAAATAATCAAGGGATTTTGGTAGATTTTGCCTGAAATTTTGCTGTGAAATGTTGATAAATATTGCTTAAATATTGTAATATTATTCTGAAAGCTGTGAATCTTATGGTTTGTTGTAAAATGTTGATGAATATTACTGAATTGAAGCTTCTTATTTCCTGAAATCTTTTGGTTTACATATGGATTGTTGATTGTTTTTTTTTCTATGTAAATGGAAAGGTCTCAACTAGATGCACAAACTATTCATGTTGATGCTCCACAAACTGTTGATGTTGATGAAGGAGATGATGAAGAAGTTGCAGATAATAAGGGTGGTGGTCATAGAGTATCTTGGGTATGGCAACATTTTGATCGAGATGTCGTAAAGAATGGTGCTAAGAAAGTGAAATGCCCATATTATTCAACAATGATGTGTGCAAATTCAAAGAAAATGAGTGCAAGAGGAAATCATTTAAGACTCTATTGTCCAACATCTCCTGTTTACGACCCTAAAGGCAAAGTTGGTGATACGAAAAAACAATTTATGTTGAGTTTCAAAAAAGTGGGAGACTCAGGGGCTACTTCTTTGGAAGTTCATTCCGTCAGCCAAGAGAAATGTAGGAATTCCTTAGCCCACATGTGTATTAAAGACAATCAACCTTTTAGTATAGTTAAAGATGAAGGATTTAGGGAATATTCACGGGATTTGCAACCTCTTTTTAAATTGCCTTCAAGGTGGACTATTGCAAGGGATTGTTTGCAGATATACAAAGAAGAAATGTATAAATTGAAGGATGTTTTAAGAAACCAAACCGTCTCCATTACAACTGATACTTGGACATCCATCCAAACCATTAACTATAGTTGTTTAACGGTACATTGGGTTGATGAGACGTGGGTTTTGAGAAAGAAAATTCTGAACTTTTGTCCCATTGCAAATCACAAAGGTGTAACCATAGGAAAACTCGTTTACAAATGCTTACAAAATTGGCAAATTAAGAAGGTGTTTACAGTGACTGTGGATAATGCTTCCTCAAATGATGGGGCAATTAGGTAACTAGCGACAATGCTTAGGGGACCGTATGATTTTATAGATTGCAAATACTTGCATTTGAGGTGTTGTGCTCATATCATAAATCTTGTGGTTAGGGACAGGTTAGAAGAACATTTTAGCTCCATCACAAAGATCCGAAATGCTGTGAAGTATGAGAGGTCATCGGGTGCTAGGTTTGCTACATTCCTAGAATGTGTTGAGAAAGTGAAGATTAATTGTAGTAAGAAACCATCCCTTGATGTTGACACAAGATGGAATTCTACTTTTTTGATGTTAGAGACGGCAGAAAAGTATGAGGCGACGTTTGATAGGTATTTTATATACTATTAAGTATGATATGTATATATATATATATATATATATATATATATATATAAATTCATAATTTACATACTAATGTTTTTATTGACTTTTATTTTGTATTGTAGGCTTCTTGTGATTGACAGTGGTTTTAAAACTTTTTGCGGAAGTGAGGTTGATGATGGTGAGGTGACTACAAGAAAAAGAAGAAGAAATGAGAAAGTTTTGGGGACTCCCGATGCCGACGATTGGGAGGTTGCTAGGTATAATATATATATATATATATATATATATATATATATATATATATATATATATATATATATATACACTTCAATTGTGAAATCTAATATTATTTAATTGATTTGGTAGGTATTTTATCGAGTATTTGAGGATCTTTTACAATGTCACAAAAAAGATATTTGGGTCCAAGTATGTGACAACAAATAAATTTTTTAAGGAACTTGTGACAATGCAAGCAAGCATAACTAGAATGTGTGCAAGCACAGACGAGAAAAAGAAAAGGATGGAAAAGTCAATGAAAGAAAAATACGACAAATATTAGGACAACATTGAGAACATGAACTTCATGCTTCATGATGTTGTCGTTTTAGATCCCCACAACAAGATGTGTTATTTGGAGTATTGCTTGGAGTTGATTTATGGTAAAAATTCTACCAAAACAAAAACAATTCTAGAGCATGTCAACAAAACACTAGAAGACTTGTTTCAACACTTCAAGAGCAAGGCGGAGATAGAAAGATGCGAAAAGACAAGGAGTGCATCATCTTCTACACCTAGTTATTTTGATTTTGGGCATGGAGTTGATATGGAAGACGATTTTGAAAGGTTTATGGAACAACGTGGGCATGGGGTTAATAAAACAGAGCTTGAGATTTATTTATCAGATGGGATGGAAAAGCCAGTGGAGGATTTCTAGATTTTAGGGTGGTGGAAATCTAATTCAACAAAGTTTCGTGTACTTTCTAAGCTAGAGAAACTTGTTTTAGGAATGCCAATCTCTACAGTTGCATCAGAGTCTGCATTCAGTACTGGCGGGAGGGTGATTGATGAAAGTAGAAGCTCCCTTACACATGTGACTGTTGAAGCTTTGATTTGCGCACAAGATTGGATACGGGACACCCCAATTGATATCCAATTTAAAAATATGATGACTTTTTATATGGAAGAGACGCAAGAGAAGTTGGTTCCAATAGAAACCAGTAAATATTTTACTATTTTTTACATAATTATAAGTTTTGTAATTATATATGTATATAATTAATTAATTACATACTATTGTTTTGTACATTTGTGTTTGTAGAGGAATTGGGGTGTGGTCAAGGGAGTTGCATGGATAAGGATTTTACTTGAATTTTAAAGGTTTATAACTCAATTATTATAATTTTATACTTTTACACAAGTTTATTACTCAATAATCATTGATCAATACTAATGTTTTTTGGTTTGTAGATGAATGGGGAATTGGTGAAGAGATTTACATGGATGTGGATTGAAGATTTATGTTTGCGTGTTTTGGACTTTTGGTTGTAATCGACTATTTGACTATTCAGGACTTTATGTTTTAGTTTGATTGTGTGTTTAGTTGTAATCGTCTAATCGACAATTTCGGATTTTATGTTTTAGTTTGATTGTGTGTTTGGTTGTAATAGACAAGTTGGTTGTAAAACTCATGTTTTTTGAAGTATTTAACTTCAATTAGGTGTTTTTTTTAATTATTTAACTAATTGTTACATGTCTGTAAAATGGGTTCAAACCCAAAACCCATGGGTTTAAACCCAGAAACCGTAAGTGTATGGTTTGAACCCAAGAAACCGAGAAACTGCCCAAACCGATATCAGAAACCGATAAACTGAACCGACCAGAAACCGACCCTATTGGGTTCTGAAAACCAGAAACCGATCATTTACGGGTTGGGTTGGGTTGGGGTCCAAAACTGACCCAAACCGACCCATGCACAACCCTAACCTTTGCTGGCCGACTCTCAATAGCACGTAAAGCAGCAGGTGCAGATCCCTATGTTGATTCCTGAAGAAGCTGGGGGCACTCAGCCTTCCGATGGCCGGTCTAGTTGCAGTGAAAGCAGACTGCAAACCCCTTGGCGAAATCCTTCGCCATATGCCTCTCCTTGCCACATTTGTAGCAAATAGCTGCTCGACACGATCCCTCGTGACTCTTGCTGCACTTACCACAAGTGCAGCACTTCTGGCCCCTAGTCCTCATATCTGTGGGCTTAGCCCGCTTCGTCGCCGACTGCGACTGCATTGGTTTCTGGTCCCTACCCCGGGATTCCCCCTCCTCTCTAGTCTATAACTCAAGCTCAATCTCCCTGCGCCTGACATTGGTCTGAATCTCAGACAATGTCCAGTATGATGAGTTCACCACAAAATCCCATATATCTCTCCTCGATATAGTTAAATAGCGACTCACACGTGCCTACTCAGTAGACACGTGCTCAGGGAACAAAAACACCCTCTCATGAAACATTTGTGTAATCTCAGTCACCGACTTTGTCTTCTACTTGAGAGACAGAAACTCATGCACCAAACGCTCACTCTCCATCGGAGGAACATACTCCTATCGAAACAAGTGTGTGAACCTCTCCCACGTCACTGTAGCATGGTCTGCAGGAGTAAAACTGGGAGTCACAAACTTCCACCAGTCCTTCGCCCCCAAGCGAAGCTGGTTCAGCGCAAATCGAAATCTTAAGTGATCTGGGCATGAACATGTGTAAAAGCACCCCTCAGTGTAATATATCCATCTCATGGCAGTAATCAGATCCTATTTCCCATTGAAATCTACTGGCTTCGTGTTGCTGAAATCCCGTAGCAACAATGAGTCACCTACTTGTGGACTGGCACCAGTGACAGCTGTGGTGGCTGCAGCACCGAAATCCTCAGTAACAGAAGTGTACCACTCATCAAATGTATCGATCAGGGTGGTCTTGATATACCCAAACATCTCCGAAATCTCCTCTTGTATGGCTGCGGCCACCTTATCATGGATCATCTTGAGAATCTCATCATCTCTAGCCCCACTGCTCCCTGGGTTGTGGCGTGTACCCACCATGAAGTCTCTGAAACACAACACAAAATCATCAAAGACTTGCTCGAGTATACTCATACTCGATCACTCGCCCCTAATTTCTCCATAGCATCCTAATGATTCTTACTTGGACTATCTGCAGATTCAGTGCTTTCAGTAGTATGGGCCCAATACTACCTTCCACACCAGTCTGTAGTCACCCTAAGTCCTCCTCATAGGATCCCAATTCACAAGTACTCCATCTCTCACAAATAACAGACTACTCTCTAGTAGACCCATTAAAAGCTCATCTAGGTATCTCTCCTTGATTTTCTCTCGACTCAAAACTCTCTCTAAGTGATTCCTGCTAGATACTCTTACTCCACTCATACTCAACGCACATAACATATAGTAGCAACTCCTAGGCTAGGCATCCCAAATCAGGAAACTCTAGTCCTAAAATATAAAATGCCTAGACTATCCTCTAGCATGCATAACTAATATCTCATAAATATCTGATAACATAAAAAGTAAGGGTATTTTGCGAAATCACAGTTCGGGCTCTGGCTGATTGTACACACGGCTGCAACTCGTTTTCTCTCAAACTCTTTCTCATTTTAGAAAAATCATTTCTTTTGAATTTTTTTCTCAAATCCTCAGTTTGAGTCCAGCCACACCCGAAGATATATCTGAATCCCTCAAACCAAGGCTCTGATACCAACTTATAACACCGTAAATTTTCAAGCCAATTTTTTTTGTAAAAATAAACACAGTAAACTCATTTTACATTTTCTCAAAACCATAATTAACTCAAATGTCATCAAAACCCACAAAGTAAAAAATCACTATCCCAGAATCCTCAATATGGTCTCAAACAAGTGTGTACAATCATGTTGGTACCTTCCCGTGATGCTGAGAGCTACCTGAAACACATAACACATAACACGATAAGCACGAAGCTTAGAGAGTTCCCCAAAACACCAAACTTATATTATTATCCTCTCATGTCTATACTCAATAAGACCCTCCGATCAATTTGTCTCAGTGGGACCTTCCAGTCCCACAACTCGGGTGGTCCCTCTGGCCCTAACTCAGTAAGCTCAGAATAACACAACACAAAATACAACACATAATACAAATATTACAATACACAATATAAGCATGTAAGACCCTCTGGTCGCACACAATTACCACTCTAGGTAAAGTATAGTGAGAAAACTCACCTCGTAAGAAATCGGATAAACTCGAACTCAAATCACCGGTCTAGCCTCCGCCTAACACATAGAATGTGACATCCCCAAAATCTCGGACAGAAAAGACAGTCTCATTTATGCTTTTAAAATAATTTTAGAGTAAATCCTTTTGATTTAAAAGAGTTGCAGAATATGTTCCCAAAACAAAATATGATAAAATAATATTTACCAAAGCATTTCATTAAGAAAATGTATTTTCATTATATAATCAAAAATCGGGATGTCATATTCCGATACAGACCAAAAAGCATAAACGACATATTACAAGCCATACAACAGTTATATACATATACAGGCTTATAAACAAAATAACTTGATGATTCATCCATCTTATGCCCTCGCGCCACTACCTGTAATACAAATAAATTAGAGTGGGTCAGGCATAGGAGCCTGGTGAGCATATAGGGTTTTCAACCCATAATAAATAATTATATTTAATTCTGTTGGGTTTTGAGCAATCTAACACTCCTAAGTGTACATGCAACCCTAAATACCTTGGATCTATGTTTTCTCTATTATACATGCAAATATCAACTTTCCAAGGTATTGTACTATTCTAGCATACAAAACTTTGAATAACACAAGTTAGAATAACATACCTTTTGTTGGTGCTTGTCTTCATGAAGCTTGAGTGCCTAGTGCCCCAAGTGTGACACCTCAAATGGTTCACACAACACCATAAGCACTTGGAATAACTTAGAGAGAAACTTGAACACTCCATGAAATCGTTTAGCCCTCACACACACACATAGTGTCGATTTCTTGAGCCATGGGTTTCTTTTATATGGTGGCTATTAGGGTTACACCATGTAACTCATGACTTTACCCATTCCTTATGCTCCATGGATTTTAACCTCCATGGAGCATCCATGGGTCACCCCATGGACTTAGTCCAACATAAGGAATCTTGGATCACAAGCCCACATATATAAGAATGAATGATTTACACAATCAACCCATATATTTAATTAGTCTCCTTTTGATCACTTAATTAATTCCAAATTAATTCTTGATCAATACTAATTAAATAACCTTATTAATATATTAGAACTTATAATATATTAATAAACCTTAAGTGTTATTTCTCTCATTTTAGTCTATCCAAGTGCATGATGCCATGCAACCCAAATGGACCATGCTGGGTCGGGTCAAGTTTTACCAATTATAGTTATGGACTTAGACATTAATCCAACAGTCTCCCACTTGGATAAGTCTAAAACTATTATTGCAAGTATGACTTCAAAACCCGACTAGCAATCGTAGCTCTCAAAAGCTTTGTCGAACTCTGACCTTGTAGATGAACTCTGACCTTTGTCAATGACTTGTCCATTAGATAAGGGATCATATATTCCTCCATTCTAGATATCATATGGACTGAGACATGGATTATAATCATTCTCTCTGTCCATTTGTTGTTTCCCGATTTCTGATTTATGACGACTGACTAATTGAACAAATCAAATCAGTCCTGGCCCGGCCGAGCACTTCCATTTGTCATCATCAAATCATCGAGGGGCCCACAGATATCGCTTTTATCCCGAAGGTAAAAGGAATGGATAAACTTCGACTCATATGCTTGTACTAACTATTTGTTGAATCATACACAAAGGCACGTTTTATAACATCGAGTTACCAATGCGTTTACGTGCAATCAATGTATAACCAACTCATAGTCAACAACTCATATCTCTAGGTTTGAAGAATATAAGATATTATCGTCTCATGATTCACTCGTGATAAAATCCATGAAGTGAATCCAAATGAGCGTGGGTTGAATCCAATACTCAGCCCTTATGAGTACTCATGAATGTTGTAGCAACTATTGCATTGTCTAAAGCACTTTAGACAAATCATACAAGCCAAATTCACGACAGTCTTGATTCATATCTACTTCCAACATATGACCGACTGTGGATGGTTTGAATAACTGTTCATTCGGGAGAATGACCTAGTTATTCTGGAAGTCAAAACATGCAAAGTGAAACACAAAATAATACTAGTCCTATATGGCCTCAACACTTTGAGCGTAAATAAAACACCTTTTATCTAAGCACCATATTGATCACTCATTATTCATGTTTCGATTAATCAACTTAATACTTGAATTGAAACAGTAGTGATGCCATGCTCCAAGCATGCATACTATGTTTCTCTAAACAATAGCTATGCCATACTCCAAGTATGCACACTATGTTTACATATGGTCATCTCTTTGTGAA